CTTATAGAAGGTGCCTCTAGACATATTTACAAGAATAGCACAGTCTCAGGAAAGACCAAGATCTTATTCTAGTGGAAAGCTTTTTCCACAACGCTGGGTCTATGCCTCATTTGTCAAATTAAACTCATTTGAAGAGATATTTGAGTTTGTGGTCCATGAGTTTAAAAAAAAAAAAAAAGGCAAGAAAGGAAGAAAGGAAGAAAAAGAATTAAGTAATTCATAAAAGCTCTTTTGAAATTAATCTAATAACCCAGTGGCTCTTCAGCTAAGTGCCTGGGTCCTGACTCTGACAGTGGGTAAAAGGCCTGTTTCCATCTGACCTCCTTTCAGCACTTTCATCTGCTGGCTCTGTCGGGCTAATGTTCCCCCCAAATTAAAAAATGAAAATGCATCATAAATAAGGTATTACAAAATGGGGAGTAGATTAAAGAGTGTCTCAGCAATGCTTAAATTAAATTGACGATGCAGAGACCGTAAACGTGTGGCTTTAAAAATGAGCTATTTCTTTATTAACTTTTAACAAGCATGCAAGTCATTGTATTTCTTTTCTAAGAGGGTATTAAATATGGTCAGGGTCTGATATATTTTAGTAGAGAATTATCCCTTCAGAAAATGATTCCATAAAGATGCCAGAGGGAGATTCAAAATGCTGCAACTGTAATAGCACTGAACTTTTCAGGAGACCATACGGGGATCCCGTATTTTCTGGAAAAGAAAGCTGCCTGTCAGACCTTAACAAAATACTTCATCCTCCGGAAGATCCACACACAAAGTCTCGATCTTTCCTCTCTTACAATCTGATAAGGAAGGCTGACTTCTAGTGTTAATGTAAACACAGTAGATTTTTCATCTCCTGTCACAATTCAAAAAAGATTTCATCTAGATAAAAACACAAAAGATAAAATTACACTAAAATGATCCTTTTCAGAGGATGCCTTGCAAAAATAGTGGGGTCATGACTTTCTAGAGTGTTCTTCCAAAAAGTAATTACACTACTTCAAAATTAGTGACGAAGATACAATAATTTATTTGGTAGTGAATTTCCTGGGGGAAATACATTTAGCTATACCTGATTTAAATATTGAGTTTGCTCTCAGGATTCAACTCTGTTCTTTCCTTTCACTGCATAGTCTTTTTGGCCCTTAAATATATAGAAGTAAGGAAAGCCCAATCATAGTATATACATTATTATCTCCAATAAAATATGCATTTCAAGACAAAACATTTGATATAAGGCCTTGTTCAGCAAATCAGGATATCTAAAATTAATGTACTTGACAATGAAACTAATGAAACATTCTAAAGTTAATTTGGATCCATAAAGTTGAGATGCTTCTAGGATAAAGATTCAATTTTAAGAACTTTTTTGCACAACTTTTTGGGAGCTAAAAATAAAAACTCAACCACAAGTTTTTATATTGAGTTAAAATTGAATAGAAAATAGACTTGCTCTAGCTGGTTTGACTCAGTGGATAGAGCATCAGCTTAAGGACTGAATGAAGGGTCCTGGGTTTGATTCTGACCAAGGGCACATGCCTGGATTGTGGGCTCCATTCCCAGTGTGGGGTGTGCAGGAGGCAGCCAATCAATGATTCTTTCTCATCATTGATGTTTCTAACTCTCTCTTCCTTCCGCTCTGAAATAAATTTTAAAAAGTATATAAATAACAAGCAAACAAAAAAGAAAACAATCAATTTAAATCTAAACCTCTCTTTAAGCACTTAAACCATAAAGTTAAAAAAAAGCTCTGTAAAAAAATATTTACTGTGCCTAGATCCCCTCTCTTATGGTTCTATGGAGCCATCTTTTCTTCTCCCCCATTAGAATAATTTTTTTATTTGGGGACAAATATATTCCAGGCCTTTCAGGAGAAAGTGGCCATGAAGTTAAGGGGCTTTAAATGTATGCACAATGGCTGAATGTTTTTAAAATGTCAGCTTACTCCAGTGAACATCTTTGTGGTTTAAAGAAACTCTCCTCTTTGAATGGGGTGCGGGGGTAGGGTAGGGTGGGCGCTCAAAAATACCTCAGAGTTCCTGAAACAACCCATAAAAGCAATTTGTTTATATTGACTGAATTTTAGTTTCTCAGTAATTAAAGAAAATATTAAAATTTTACCACTTTCTATTTTTTCATACTTCTCATCCTAAACATCTAATATCAGGACAGAGACAATGTGAAAAGTGAGCTGTAAGATTTTAATTTTTTTTCTCCAGTGATCAGTTGTTTTGCTACTTGTCCTTGATGTGATGTTTTGGTGGGAAGGAAGTTAGACCTGGGTCGAATAATGGAATTGTGATTCTTACTGTTTCCATGATGTCAAAGAGTCTTAATGGTAGGAAGATAGTACTTGATACTAACAGGACCCTACTGCTAAATATTCAGCTCCAGTCTCAAATTATCCAATTTCTTAGACATTCACTTCATCATCAGCTTCTGTGGTAGAGATTAAATAGTTATTTCAATATTTTGTCATATTCACCTGTTCTTGGTATACTGACTGTATCATCTCTAAGATGGGATAAAATATCTGGCCACTTACAACTCCAATATTCCATTTCAGAACTACTTACTATCACTTATGATGAAAGAGTAAACCTTACCCTTAAATATTGGAAGTTGCTAGTGTCAGCCCTCACATTTTCCAATTAATGTCAAAAGTTCAAAAGGAAGACTTCTGCTGATAGTTTTGTTTTTTTAAAATAGAACTTTCTTGATTCAGTTTGTTAGATGACATAAAACATAATGATAGGAACTCTTTAAAGTTTCAGTAAGTCATGTGATTAAGGTGCTGGTCTATTGCTATAGATAACTAATTCTTATTAATTAACTTTACTAAGCTACCTTTTCCCAGTGCTTACCTTTGACTATGATATGTGTCGATTCATTACAAGGAAACCCTCCTGTAGTATTTTGTTTGCATACCTATGTGTGTGTGAAACTAGGAAAAGAAAAACCATAAAAAAAGGGACTAACCTAAACATGAAATGTGGTTAATATACAGGGAAATACTTTACAAAATAGGAAAACATTCAGGAAACTGAAGGAAAAATAGGGTTGTAAAAATTTTTCACTCTAAATGGGTAATCCGAAACACTACATTTCTTTAATTTTAAAGGTGCCATCTTTACTTCCTGGGTAATATGTCTATTTAAAACTTGACAGTGTATTTTCAAATAGAAATTATGTGCTGATATGACATTATCTCCAAATGGATTTGACACTAAGATTATCTGTAGAAAATTAACATTAATTGAAAATAAATCTCTAAGATTAATAATTGAAGTCTTGAAGTCAGCATATTCATTATTTGTTTTTAAGTTTTCAAAATAAGGATGTTTTCATTACAGTATTACAGTATTTTGGAAATTTCTGATGACTGCCCACGAAGATTCTAATGATAAAAGTCATTAGAACAGCCATGAAATAAATGATTTGAACCTGCCAAAAGGAATAGTTCAGTTCGGTTAGGTCTTCTGGATAATAACTGTGATGCTAATTGCATAATTAGAGAAAGAATAGATTTGGATGGATTGTACATTATCTTCTGTCTTCATTTGAGACCATCATTTTATCATTGTTCAAAGACAAAGAGAGCAGAGTTGCCATGGGAATAAAGTTAAAAACAATGAAAAAATATTAATGCTTTTGAAAGCCAACTATCATTTTAATTTTAATCTAAAACACTCTTGTTGTAGGGAATCCAACTTTTCCCTTTGTGAGCATCTTCCAACCATGTCATATGTAGGTTTTCACCATGATTTCAACGTTCATCTATATCTATCACGTTATATAAATATATAGGTGTTTCCGGATGTGAAGGACAGGGTGTCAGGTTCAAGTGTGGTTGGCTCTTACCACCCCATTAAACTCTGAGTGGGATTTAAGTTGTATTTAATCTACCTTTACTAATGCATCTTAATTTAGTAAGAAGTATCTGAAGAACATGAGTTATGTACCTCACACTGCTACTTTCAAGTATATATTAGAATAATACTGACAACAACTACAGACAGGAAGTTAAAATTCATCTCAGAAAAGTTCCTTCAAGAACTTTTACACAATTAGACTTATTTGTAATCAACCTATGGACTGCTGGAAAAAATTCAAGTGGTCTGTGGTACATTTGGTGGCCCAGATTTTAAAATACGCTAAATATTTCCTTTATTAATATTATTAGCTAGTTTCAACTTTCCCTTCTATGGCACAAGGGCAAACTTTCACAGGGCTAATATGTAACAAATTATGAGTTAGTGGTAAGGAATGAGGTCTTACTTATTTATTTTGGTTGCTTTTGAATGTCACTATTTAATTTGCTCCTACTCCTTATGGGGGACGAGAATCTCAAAACATTGGTGGGTTATCATGCTTAGCGTAGCCACTGGTGTCAGAAAAAGCTCCTGAAGAACAAACAGGATGGGCAGATGCCATTTTAAATTCACTGTGACAGAATTACACACCCACATCTGTATAGTTCCTTGTCTCCTTGTGAGCTGAGATACCCAAGGAACAACGTCACGGTTGTCATTCCTCCCTTATTCCTTTTTACTAAAACTATATTTTATCCTTACAAGAACAGTCCTTCATCCCCTTAGCATCTAAAGGTGGAGTCAGAGCAGTCAGCTGACCTGAATCCGTGGGTGGCGGACGAAAGGCCAGCCTGGGGGGATGAACTTGGTCCAAACTTCCCTGCAGGGAGCACAGGACAGCGCGGGGCGCGCCCTGCTCTCTATCCTCTCCCCCAGCACGGTGCCCGCTGCTGGGCCTTCATGGTTCCGCTAGACACACTAAAAAATAAACATTTGCCTCTTGGAAGCTCATAAAAGTGTACTAGAAAAAAGGTCTCTACCATTGGACCCACACGGACCGCGGCCATGGACTGTCCCACACGGGCGGGGACTGGGAACCCCTTCCGGGAGCAGGTGCGGTCCAGGGAGAGAAGGAGCCGCTGCTCGCTGCTCGGGGCTCAGCATCCTCCCGCGCAGGGAAGAGGCCGCCGGTTAGGAGTCCTTGTCGCTGTCGGCCCCTCCGTACAGGTCCGCCAGCTTCTTGAAGCGGGGGCCCCAGTCGCTCAGGTAGTCATAGTCCTGGTCGCCATCGGTGGTGGCCGACTCCAGCGAGCTGAGCGAGGCGGCCACGGAGCCCGCGCCCTCGTAGGCGTAGGTGGCCAGCGAGTCGTAGGGCGGCGCCGTGGGGTCCGAGTCGTGGTCCTGGAGCCTCTGGGTGATGAAGTCGCGGACGTCGGCGTTGTCCCGGGCCGGGGCGGCGGCCGCCGGAGTCCGTCGGGGCAGGAAGAGGGCCTCGGGCGCGATGTCCCTGCGCAGCTTGCCGTCCTCGATGGCCTCGGGGTTGCGCAGGGTGCCGATGTCGAAGGCCTGCGTGTCCTCCTCGCCGCCGCCCTCGTCGTTGTAGCTGACCACGTTGTCGCGGATGTCCTCCTTGGAGATGATCAGCGGCTCCTTCTTCCGCTGCCGCCGCAGGGCCGCGAACAGCGCCACGGTCACTGTGTGACACGACACAGAACATATCGATAAGGGACTCGTTCATGTTACAGGAAGTCTTGTGGATTAAGGTGCTGGTCTATTGCTATAGATGGCTAATTCTTTTAAAAAAAATATATATATATATATTTCATTGATTTTTTTACAGAGAGGAAGAGAGAGGGATAGAGAGTTAGAAACATCGATGAGAGAGAATCATCGATTAGCTGCCTCTTGCACACCCCTCACTGGGGATGTGCCCGCAACCAAGGTACATGCCCTTGACCGGATTCGAACCCTGGACCCTTCAATCCTCAGGCTGATGCTCTATCCACTGAGTCAAACCAGTTTCGGCAGATAACTAATTCTTATAAATTAACTTTACTAAGCTACCTTTTCCAAGTGCTTCCGATGACTACAATATGTGTTGTTTCATTACAAGGAAACCTTCCTGTAGTATTTTGTTTGCATTCCTATGTGTGTGTGTGTGTGAAACTAGGAAAAGGAAAACCATAAAAACAGGAACTAACCTAAACATGAAATGGTTGTTAATATACAGGGAAGTACTTTACAAAATAGGAAAACAATCAGGAAACAGAAGGAAAAATAGAGTTGTAAAAACTTTTCAGTTTAAATGGGTAATCTGAAACACTACATTTCTCTAATTGTAAAGGTGACAGCGAAGGGAAGGGGAGGTGAATGCGCCGGCCAGTGCCAGCCCGGAGGAACCCTGGGCTCCAAGGGGCAAGGGGGAAAAGTCCTCCAGGGAAGGGCAGACTCAGCTTTTACTTCCTTTAGCGTGCACGCATTTATTGCCTTCGTGCAGGATCAAGGCAGGACCCCAAGGAAACGGAGAGAATATTTGAAGGAAGGGTACCATTTAAGCAGAGGATAAGAACAAGAACAGACCCAGAGATAAGGAGCCATGGGTCAGACTGTTGGACCTCAAAGGGAGGGTGGGGATAAAAGGGAGAGATCAACCAAAGGACTTATGTGCACACATAGGAGCCTAACCCGTGGTCAAGGACAATAGGGGGGTGGGAGTGGGGGATTGGAATGGGGGGTTGAGGACAAATATGTGATACCTTCATCAATAAAGAAATTTAAAAAATAAAAATAAAAAATAAAATATGATAAATGTGTTCTAAAAAAAAAAGATATTGCCAGATTTTGTCAGTAGGCTCTTTTTGCTTTGAAATGACCAACTAGTTTTGAGGTAAGGAAAAAGAGGAAATGCTAAGAAAGAAGAAAGCTCAGGAGGAGTGAGAGGACAGCAGTAAGAGTGCAAATTATGCGGAACACGGAAAGCGCTCCGAGCCGGCTTAGAAGCACAAGGCTGGCACCTTCCCAACGTGTGGAAGGGTTTGCATAACTCCGCATCTAAAATAACTTTTGCACTTCTTTTTTGTTTTCCCCGAGAAGAGGGTAAAATTAGTTTAAAGCCCAAAGTGGAGATGTGAATATTTGCATACCTTCTCCCACATCTGAGGGAATATTACAGATAATACCTGGAAAGACCCAGATACACTTCAGAAAGCCACTTTGGGTTTCACCATCAGCCCATCCTAAGGGGATTATTTCCGTTCAAGTTAAACAAAATGCACACATTTAAGTGGGGATGGAAAACAAAAAATCTTTCAAAGATTCACGTTCTGCCAGCTCATTTCCTGGATACTCAGTCTTTGGATTTTTCCTCCTAAGTCAAATTAGAGACGAAGGGAGTGTTGTGTTTAGATAGCTCCTGATGTGTCTTCCCAGCTGGCTGGCTAGAACATAGCTGGCTACCTGTAGAGACACACATCTGCAAATGGACAGATTGGTGGGAAAATAAAAACACAGCAACAGCTCAGAGAGAAAACAGCTACCCAGGGCAGAACATGCCTTGTTAAACTGGGTTTGTACAGGGGACTTTAATACAGGAGGTACCAGTAACATCTCTTTATTCTGTCATCCATAACATGGATCCATTTTTTAATAAGCCGTGAAAATTGAATTATTGCATTAAGAACACAAACAGCAGTGCGGTGGTTGTCAGAGGGAGAGGGGTGTGGGAAGAAAGGGGTCCTAATATGAGGTGACAGGAGAAGATTTGACTTTAGGAGGTGAGCACATGGTCCTTTATGCAGATTTTTAAATTACTAATCCACATATGAAACCTATATGTTCATGTTGACTAATGTCACCCCAATAAAATAAAATTAAATTAAAGAACAATTGATGGATATTTGTATCTACCTATATAATACTGGATACATGCCCACATTGTGTCTATACATAAATATTTTATTTTATTTTATTTTATTTTATTTATTTATTTTTTAAATATATTTTATTGATTTTGTACAGAGAGGAAGGGAGAGAGATAGAAAGCTAGAAACATCGATGAGAGAGAGTCATCGATCAGCTGCCTCTTGCACACCCCCTACTGGGGATGTGCCCGCAACCAAGGTACATGCCCTTGACCAGAATCGAACCTGGGTCCCTTCAGTCCCCAAGCCGACGCTCTATCCATTGAGCCAAACCGGTCTCGGCTATACATAAACATTTTAAATGTTAATAGTACTGATGATTGGTCACCTATTGAGAGAGTTCTATGTCCAGCACTGGGCTAAGTGCTTTACATATTGATCTCATTTAATTATCATAATAGCCCTACAAAAGTAGCTCTATGTAATGAGGAGATAGCAAATTTAGTGGAGCTAAGGGAGCCCAAGGTATTACCATTATTAACTCCATTTTACATAGAGGAAGTTAAGATGTAGAGATGTCACATGTACAAACAGTTGAAATCCAGGTCAGCCAGACTAAAAAGCCCATACTGTACCATGCTTTGACACATGTTTGGTTATAGACCATTTCTCAAGGGTATACAGTTTTGCCTTTCTCAGATGTGTTGTTGTATACATTCTTTTTTGCTGTCAAGAGAGTATTCTGATGCCTCATTTGTCATGCCCACTCAGAATATTTATTTATTCATTCATTCAATAAATATTTATGCCATGCCTACTCTGTGTCAGGTTCAGTTCTTGGCACTATCAATAAAAAAGTTGATCAAGACTTCCATCCTAATAAGGTGGGCAGGTGGTGGTGGTAGAGGGAGACAGAAAATGAACAATGTGCATAACAAATAAGGAAATTACTGAAAAGGTGGTAAGTAGAGCAGAGTCAGGAGGATGGGAGTGCTTCCATGCATGTTTGAGGGGCTGTCTATTTATTTTGGGGGTAGATTGCATCATCGAGAAAGCGACATTTGAGCAAAGACATGAGGAATCATCCAAGGAGCTCTCCTTGGTGAAGAAGTCAGAGCTAGAAAGCCCTGAAGAGGGAGTGTGCTTGGAGTGTTTGGGAAACAACTAGGAGACCCTGTGGCTGGACCAGGGGGAGCCGGGAGAGGAGAGCAGTAGGGAAGGGCCACCTCATGTGGGATGGTGGGTGCTTCTGTATGCCTTCACTTTATCTGGGGTCGGGATGGGTAGAAATTGCAGGGCTTCAGGCAAAAGGATGCTCACAATCTACCTTTCTATACTGACTTGCAGAGTGGCCCGTGACATGGATTTGCAAAACAGAAGGTTGTGAGTAAAAGCAGTTTTTGGGATTAGAGAATAGCATCAAGCAAACTCACTCTCAGAGAATTAAATTCTGATGTCCATGAGTTTATTCCATCATTGAAGGCAGGCATTTATCACTTCCTAATTCTTCCCCAGCTTGAGCTACCTACATCTTTTATTTTAGTCCGATGTGTACCTAAAAGTGCAGCTGTCTAGGAGGGAGAGGACATATTCAGTCATTCAAAGGCATTTATTCACTGCCTAATTCTCCTACAGCTACTACTGCCTAGATCTTTTCTTAGTAGCCTGAGGCACATATGAACAGAATTTCTTGATAGTATAACTGTCAAGAAGGGAGAGCTTTCCAAAGCTAACTTTTATAAATGGAAAGTGTGTGATCTAAGCACACAGAGCAAAAAGTTCTGAGAGAGTAATTGAATAAGGAGGTGTCCTTCCCAGTCACTGAGCCTTCCCCTTCCCCTACTTCCTTGAGCAGAAGACAGTAATAAAATTATTTTGGACGATGAGACCCGTGGACAAATTTGTGCTCAAATCCCATCATATAATGTAGAAAGCAGCAAGGCATTGGGATCAGGCTTACTTAAAGAATTTGACTTGTCTAACTCTGTTTCCTTCTCTGAAAAGAGAAGCAATGTCATAATGCCCAATGTTGTTATCAGGAATGAGTTAATATAAGTGAATGTTTTGCAGATTCTAAAGGACCATAAGACATGAAATGAGTGGTTGTTTTTGTAAATAAAACAATAGATGCCACCTGATCTTGACTGCAGATCCCCTCCTATTTGGCTTTCTGTCTCTTATAAACTCTCAGGTTTACTTCCACTTTCTTCATCCGTCTCTTCACTTCTGGTACTCTTTCAGCCTAGAAGTTACTTTGCATTCCGTAAGTTCACAAAGAAAGTAGAGTGCCATGTGGAAGCACAAGGCTCACGGGGACAAGACCCGAGTTTGAAACTTAGTTCTATCACCTGTTAGCTGTGTGACTGCACATCTTGGAGCCTCAGTTTTCATATTTAATATGCAGATGAATATATTGCCAGATGGTGCTGAGGATTAAGTGAGAAAAACATTTGGAAAGTATCTTGCTCAGTGTCTAGCTCATGAAGTGAGCCTAGTGAAAGGTTAAACCCCATTTCTCTTCCTTTTTAATGAGTATAGAATACTGAAGAGATTAGACAAGATGTGGGAGGCACTGAGGCAAATTAGAAGTAATGAGGAGATAGTGAATTTAGTGGAGGGAAGGGATGAAAAGGGAGGGTAAAGAGGGCTGGTCAGGAGGAAAAAAAGGGGAAGGAGAAAAAGGGTAGGTGATGAGGAGAAGGAAGAAGCACCTCTAGAGATAAGAATCATTCTCCTTCCATAGACCATAAAAGAGTCCATGGAATTCTACCTGCTCATCCAGCCCTTCTAAAAATAACCTCTTTTAAGAAATAATATAAAAACCCCAACTATTCATATTCTTCTCTTCCAAACCAGTTTTTACAGGCTCACTATTAGAAGCACTGATTTGTCTTTGCCTACTGTCGTTTTTATTTATCCTCATATCTTAAAATACTTTCCCCAAAGATTAGATGACAAAGAGAATCACAGTTCTGTAGCTGAGTTTCGAGGCTTCTGTTATAATTAGCAAAGATGATCTGGAATTTGAAGCTCTTGAGCAGAGATCCCTAGGCATTCTCATTCTCTTCTTGAGAAATGTAGGTCTTACTTTGCTCTTCTCAAAGTCACTGTACTGTCACCCGCCTCGGCCTCTCCCCTCCCCCGGTGTAATCAGGTTAACACTAAATTCTTCCTTTTCTTTTCCCATTGTGTAGCAAGCTATATAAATCTAAGTTTTATTTTTGGAAGTGTTGCATTAGATAATATTTGATTTCTTAGTTCACAACAGTCAAGGTGCTGCCAGATCACTTTGAGCTCAGCTTATGTGCTTAATCTGCTGGTTGGGGGTAAAAAAAATTAATTTGAATTATTGTTACACCTTGATTTTTGCCTTTCTTACATTTATATCTTTCAGGTCCCAGGTTTATTTCCTTGTTCACAGAAGTTTTTTTATTATTGAGAGTCTGAGAAATAATAAGTATTACATATGGCAATTGTAGAGCAATGCTAAGAAGGTTGTTCTTTAAATGGGTCTAAGTTTGCTGGGTTAGAGAAAATTTACTTGCTTTTTATTTTCCTGTACGAGAGAGAAAAAGTCATCACATTCCTCTTTCCAGTGTCCCATTGGTTTTTAAACTTGACCTTCATTGAAGGGGCCCTCATCAGACACTCCATGTCGGATGACTTCCATTCTTTAGAATTTAACAGTGTCTGTCAGGTTAAGTATTAACCAACAAATGAAACCAAAAAGGGCCTGTTTATGCTACCCTCACATCCCCCCTGAGATTCAGTTCCAGTCTGATGGGTAAGAGATTCTTTTAAGTCATGTCCCTCCCCTGCTCAGTGGTTCCATCCCACTCAGGAGGAAGGACAACGTCCTCATCATGACCCTGAGGCCCCACACAAACCAGCGAGTAAATACACTCGCACCCCAGGGCCCTTGCACTGTCTGTTCTTGGTTCAGTGGCTCCCTTGGAAGGTAAAAACACAGGAAAGTTCCACATCTGCTCATTCCCCAAAGCCATATTCAAGCAAAAGCTAGTTCATGGTTGAACAACACAGATTCTCAGCATATAACTCTACTCACCTAGATCAGGCTGTATGCCTGCAGGGGGGAGGTGAGTAGAGTGTCACAGTAAGAGAGTGTGCCCCTCAACGTGGGGAGAGAGGATGCAGGGAGGAGCAGTTTACCTAGTAGGATCACGATGCACAGCAGGATGGCCACCAGAGCCCCTGTGCTCAGGCCAGTGGGGTGGACGAGGGCCTCCGCGTGGCAGGACTGCATGTTCCCATGGTGGTCACATGCACAGACCCGGACAGTCACTGTCCCTGTGCTGCTCTGCACTGGGTGGTCGTTGTCTGAAATGACCACAGGCAGGAGATAGGTGCTCATCTCATGTCTGTTGTAGCCATTTTTCCGCGTTAAGATTCCCGCTGTGTTGTCTGGAACAGGAAAGCAAATTGGTGAGTGCCTGTGGATGCTGCCCCATGTAGTGGGTCAGTTGGGAGGGGAATAGATGGATATAGGTACAGGCATCAGTACAGAGATGGAGAAAGTCCCTTGGGCTCATGTACCTTTGTTGTCATGGATGGTGAAGTTGGAGCCACTGGCTGCTTCCGGGGCCAAATAGAAAGAGAATTGGTGCCCGCTCTGAGGGTCATCCTTGTCAACAGCTCGGAGGGTCTGAATCAACTGAAACCCAAACCACAAAGCTGTCAGCAAGTTTTGTAACTTAATGCATTTCCTACAGTGTTTGCAGTAAATTGCTCTAGTTTTAATTTAAAAAATGATATCCTCTATAAAGTTTACAATGAGTCTACTCTATGAAAGAACAGATGGGTTGGAAATAGCTATAGCAGGGCAAATCCCGGAGGTGAGTCTGTTCTGTAGGAAGTTAGCAGCAAGCCTGGCCTCGTCCCACTCAATACTAGTAGCACCCTCTCCCCTGTGATGATAAAAAATGCCTCAGACATTGCTAAATGCCCCCTGAGGGACAAAAGTCCCCTGGTGGAGAAACATCAGCTGTAGGGTGATACAAAACTATACATTATCACAATGATCTGTGACAACATTGTAAGCTAAGGACATGGAGGCAACCAGTGGCCAGCCTGCTTAGAAATGCAATCTAGGCATATACAAGAGCCATCAACTTGCAAAAAAGTTAAAAAGAAAATTGGTACATAAAACACATAACTTCAACTGTTAGCACGCATTTAAAAAGTGCACTTCTATTTTGACAAACTGAAACATAATTTCTATATCACTGGCAGAAAAAACCTATTTCAGTTGGGGACATGTGTATAGCACTCATGAATGTGTATTACTTGTACAGATGGGCAATGTAAGTGAGTGGAACTATGCATCATAGGAGTTTGTAAAATATGTTGTAGTGATTACTTTCCAATATGTATGGTAATTAAAACTATATGCTTACCAATAAAGATTTTTCCCAATAAAGCTGTGACTAATCTACTTTAATGAAACTTTAAGGCTGATTTGGAATCAGCATCCGATTTTGAGACTGATGAACTTCCAGTTCTTAAAAAGTGTTTGTTCTCTTATGCAAGTTAAACATTCATCCTGGTTCTTACTTATAGTATTAATTTTGTTAGCATTCTCTTCATCGATAATTCAAAACTGGCCTTGGTCCTGTTTATCATATGAATTATTAGAGGATTCTAAATTAATCTGACTAAATTAATTTACTTGCATATGAAACTCACCTGATCTGCTTTTGCCTTTTCACAGACAAAGGTTTCATAGAATTCAGCAAATTCTGGGGCATTGTCATTGACATCTAGAACTTTAATATAGAGAGGTACTCGGCTGCTCTGCTTTGGATTATCTGCAACATGCCAAAACAAAAGGAAGAGACATTTATATGTTGGTCACCAGTCCCTTTTAGACTACAGTCACTCATCCCTACTTTCTCATTCATACACAGACTCCCCCAGGCTGCTGTGAGTACCAGAGAGCATTCAGTACCAATGTAGTCACAAAAAAGTAGAATTAGATCATTTGGTACTTCTGGTACATTAGGTACACTTGATAGAGATACCTGGGAGACACAGCTACATATGTTGATGGAATATAATTGGGTAATAAACATCAGAATATAAAGAAAAGCTACCCTACAGAGGCCTTCTAGAGCCAGATTTTAAAGAAAGCAGATAGGTGGGGAAATGTGGACAAGGAATCATGGGGTAGGGGGATGAGTGATTGCTATTTTCTTAGTTTTTTAGTTTGAGTGTGAATAAGAGCTAGACATTGTGCTAAGCACTTGGCTACATTAACTTACTTAATTTGTGTAAATTTCTGAGACTACTGCCCCCCTTCTATAGGTGAGAAAACACAGGCACAGGGAGGTTAGGTCAGTGGTCCGCAAACTCATTTGTCAACAGAGCCAAATATCAACAGTACAATAATTGAAATTTCTTTTGAGAGCCAAATTTTTTATTCTTCTAATGCCACTTCTTCAAAATAGTCTCGCCTAGGCTGTGTTCTTTTGTGGAAGAACCACATTCAAGGGGCCAAAGAGCCGCATGTGGCTCATGAATCGCAGTTTGCCGACCACAGGGTTAGGAAATTTGCTCAGAGACAGTAAGGAGTAGAGCTTAGACTCATATTTGGATCTGTCTGACTCCAACGCCCAGGCTGTTCATAGTGGATGATAGAGCAGCATCAATATTCGAAGACCTGAGATTAACAAAGTTCTCTGATTGTCTTTCATGACAATCTCTTGGGTAGTGTAGTAGACTGGTTCCTGGTCTAAGAATCAGAAGTTGGAGTCTCACCTCAGATTTCTTCTTTCACTTTGCTCATTTGCTCCTTCACTTGATAAATATTTAGTGAGCATCTAATACCTAATCTGTGCCAGCCACTATTTGGAGTGCTGGAACACATGGAGAACCCAACAAAGATCCTGCTTCCTGAAGCTCTATTCTAGTGTGAATAGCAAACTGTGAACATATAAAAATATAATGTGTCAGATGGTAAATGCTATGGAGAAATTAAACAGGGAAAAGAGGTTGGAGAGAGACAGATGCGTTACTTTGAATGGAATGACCAGGGATGGCTTCTTTGATGAGATGCCATTTGTACAGATATGAATGAATAAAAGGATTAAACCATGTGGCTATTGGTGGCTCTCTAGAGAGAGAACATAGCAGGTGCAAAGGCCTTGGTAGTAGGAGTAAGTGACCTGGATTTAAGCTGTTGGATTTGCATACAACAAAGGTAGTTAGAAGGGCAATTTTTAAGCTCCTTTGTGTCTAACATTTTACGCTCACTATTCTTCCAAGGTTAAAGCTGCTGAAGGTGAAGTTTTGAAAGGTCTTTATTACTAGTGATTTCAAATATATTGTAGAAACTGTAAATCTTAAAAACAGAACATTTTAGGCACAAAGCTTAAAAATTGCTGATGATATAGAAAAATGGTACTTTTTGGAGGGAAATGATTTCATAATTTCAAAGCTTTAAATGTATCCTATCATTGATATCCACATTAGTCCCTCCACATAAATTCTAAAGAACAAATACTACCGTAACAAATTTGTAATGAGTTTTCATCACTATAAAAAAAATAATGTTTCCTTTTACCCATATTAGTTATTTATTTTTCTACTCAATATCCTTCAGCCACTCAAATCTCATAACTTATTCTGACAAAGGATGCTACTGTAATATACCATTTGATATGGAATGTTTTATACCAGACACCCAACTGAGTTAAATTTTTTAAAATAAAATGTTTATACTAAGTAAAAAGCCAAAATCTAAGAAATGTGCCATAATTTAGTAGAAGCCTATTTTTAAACATTTAAGTAATATTCTTCAAGATAATTTTTTTTTCATGCACTTAGTCCTACACATTGTGTTTACATTGCTCAATGTTCACTGTGTATAATCATTTTATTTGAAGCCTTCCTTTGGCACTGATTTTCTTTGCCTTACATTTCATAGCGACTGCCATAAAATTCATTCTAAACACTTTATTGTGCTGCTCTTTTGGTGTACCATGGGAAAGTTAAAATTTATATCTCTTAATTCTGTAACAATTGAAAAATAAAAAAATCAGAGGATGAACATCCAAGAAATTTCCAAACAATGCCTACTTTTTAGAATATATTTGATCCCTTTCTCTCTGCCCCCTCCTCCAATGTCTAACCATCTTAAGTAGCTCATTTTTTTCCCCAGCTGCTTCTGCAATCTTCTGGTTTATAAGCTTTTTGAAGTCGAATCCAACATGTACCAGTTCAACCCCAGCTGACACAGATGCTTTCCCATCTTATTGTTTCTAAACTGCTGACTTTCCACAGTTGCATTTGTGAATGAACCAACATATGTCTAGAGGAAACATTATTGCAAATCATTACAGAGCTCTTTCCTTCAATATGTATTGAGCAGGGCCTGCTTCACCAGCCCTTGCTGGGATGCTCAGTCAATCGAGGACAGCATGGTATGGGGTTGGACTTACTGATCTCCGTTGCTATCACTGTAATGTTGTGCCACAGCAATGTTTCTCGGTCAAGAAGTTTCGATGTAAAAACGGAACCATTTCCAGAATGAATGTTGAATATTCTGTCCAGATCTGTGTGTCGATCGACAGAATACCTGGAAATGCAGAATAGAATTTATAAAGGTTTTTTTCTTTGTATTCACTATTCTCACATCTTAAAACTATTCCCAGAAATCAGTTACATGAAATATTTTTTCTAATAGTAGCATATATTTGAATATCTGTAGTTTAACATTAAGTAAAATATTCTGAGAAATTAGTTGTTGTCAACTGAGGTCTTAAATAGTAAACCCACTAGATAAGCTGCATGAATTTGAATATCACCACTGAAGTTTCTTTTTAAAAATATAATTTGGCCAACTTTGTATAGTAATTGTTATAATAACTCAAGTTTTTAGGACCTCAGAACTCTGGTGTGTGTGTGTGTGTGTGTGTGTGTGTGTGTGTGTGTGTGTGAGTGTGTTTGTATGAATAATTGGGATTATTGGCTATTTAATATTTATTTTATTTTATTTTGAAAATTATGTTAAAAGACGCAAAAATGGATAGTGTGGCTGAGGTTAGTAAGGCAGGCAATGGGGTAGGGTTGAGCTTGGGAAAAGATCCACAGTTGGACTGGCCATGTTACGAAGCTGTGATTTATTCTAAGAGTGATGTAGCTCTACCAATGGATCTTGAGCAGGAAAGTGTTATAATCTAAAACACACTTAGCCAAGATTTCTAGTTGAATCAAAGAGAATTGAGGAAACTGATTGGATGGTAGGTGACACAAATGTACAGGAATTTGTGAAAAACAGGATTTGGATAAGATCATAAGTTCCAGTTTTGACGTGTTGAGGAATAAACCTTCAGAAAAATCTGGGTTGAGGTTTCTAGTCTGATGGTCAAGATGAAAATCTGGACTGACAATCTAGATTCCCTATTCAATTCTTCAGGAAGAGAATGTCCTGGGAAGGAGAATAACAATGGGGACAGAATCGCTCAGAGGACAACTCTAAAACAGAAATGTTCCAGGACTAGAATGGTGACCAGAGCAGTGTAGGAACTTGATAGATATTTAAGGAGAGTTTGGAGAATTCAAAGAAATCAAGAGTGTGTCTTAGAAACCAAAAAAGGACTAGTCTTCAACATGGAAGCTCATGGAAGACTAGTAGATTTTGAGAACTGTTATTGTCTTTATAAATTAATCACTAGTCTTTGGAATAGTTGTGTAAGGAGGAAAGATAGTACATTCTGTTTTATGGGGGGTAATGTTAAAGAGAAAACTCAGAAGAAAGTTGATATGTTAAGGTCTTTAGGAACAAAAACTGCCTGTTTTAGCTGGATTCTCAACATTTATATCATGTTGGGTGATTTAAAAATATTGGCTCAGAAAAAATACAATTTAAGTAAATGATCTAATTAGTTATACATATATGAATTCATTATAAATGCTCTAAGAAAAATAAACCCTTGTTACTAATGTGTACAATGTCCATATTCTCTTTCAGTAAATTATTTTGATTTAAAATATAACTAGTGAATTATAATAAACAAGATATTTTAGCTTAATAAAATCTATTTTTTTCATTTAGCATGAGTCAAAATAAAACATACATCCAATTATTGCAGGCTATGCAAGCCTGGTTTTAAAGAGAATGAATGGCTCAGCCAGTGTGGCTCTGTGGTTGAGCATCTGACCTATGAATCAGGACATCACAGGTTCAATTTTCTTTCAGGTTAGATCCCAGTGTGTGGCATGCAGGAAGCAGCCAATCCAATGATTCTCTCTTATCATTGATGTTTCTCTCTCCCTCTCTCTTTTTTCCTTCTGAAATTAATAAAAATATACTTAAAAAAAGAATGAATAAAGATCTCAATGGATCTCTATTGATCAAGTTGAGTTAGAATTTTCATTTCAATGAATAGAAACTTAATGTTTTATTATCAAAAGGATTGAAACAGATGTATTAGGTCTTATTTTTTGATTTTGTCATGAATCAACATTTATTAAGAATTTAGGCAATAACATTGAACTTGCTCGATCACCTTAATTTTTAATCTGCGAATGATAAATATTTACATATTTAATTAAAAGTAATTAATAATAAACCAATAAAAAGAAAATCTCAATATTCATAGACTTTGTAAGAAATTTAATAATTATCTACAAATATGTTTTTCCTCGTGAAATATATCAAGCTTAAGATGTGTTGCTTATTGCCTTTATAAGCTGTTACAGCAGTAATCTTTTCTTGTTCTTTGCCTCTTTTTATCTTGCTATAGTTTTAAGTTTTATAAGCAATCATATTTTCCCATCAAACCTTGATATAGAGGTTACAAGGAACTTCTAGTAAAAGACAGCTTTACGTTTTAAATAAAAAATAACTTATTTCTTTAAAAGTAAATACCAAAATGTATATATTTTTTCTTTAATTGGGAGATTTAAAGATTAATAGAAAACCTAAAATATTTAGAATGTTTAGGAAAGATGATTCCACACAAAGCCTTATTTATTTGTTGTTTTTCTTTCCAAAGTACTTCCAGTTTATATCCAGGCTATTTACTGTTTAGTCCCATTAATTCTAATCATAATTAATAAGGAACAAGGTAATCAATCCCACCATGGTGGTAGCAGATCATTCTGCTAGATAGCTCTTTTTTTTTCTTTCTAAAACTTTATTGTATTCTGTGATTTAATAATTCATCTTCTAATGCATCCTCAAGTCAGGAAGATTTGAGGGTTAGGAAGGAAGTGTGCATGCATGTAATTTTTTCACAGTATGGATTCATAGTGACATTTTATAAGGCTCTTTCATGGAAATCAAAGGTCATTTTTGATGGTTATTGGATGAAAATTATTTTATGTTATTGAAGAGTTAAAGATTTGTGCCTACATAATGATATATGAATGTTTGGGGGAGGATTCTTTAGCATTAGTTGTAGACTTAACATATTGTCTAGCACCTAGCAGTTCAATATATATGGATGTACTTTTCTAATATAAGAATAAGTTTATGCTACAAAAGAAATCAATGGCATATGTACTTATATACCAATATGTTTATGTGTATTTCTATCCTTAAATCTATATTTATACATCAAATCCATATCTAGCAAGGAAGGGCTGGCAGAAGGAAACTTCAAAATTAGCTGTCAGCCAACCTAGTTTGACAAACTCCTTATTTCACAAAACATAATATAATGCAGTGGGTAAAATGATATAAAAAGAAAAATAGATATAAAAATTCAGCCTAAATTTCCAAAAGACATTATTTCTTCCAATTAAAAACAACTTGACCAATCAAGGAGGTAAACGATGCTCGTATTTGTCAACCTCAGTATTAGCACTTTTAAGTTGGTCTTGACATTGACTTCTAAGTTTTTTGTTTTTTTTTACCTCACACAGTTAGAATAAACTCCAAATGAGAGAATAGTTGTGAAAGTACTTAAAATTATTTGTGTTATAAAGTTAAAGCATCATTCATTTTCCTTATTAATAACACTAATGTAAATGGAGGAGCGCTTGGTCCATGGAGCTCTCATGCGGCTCCTTTGAATTGACCATAGTCTAATTCAAGGAGTTTAGATATTCCAGTAAAACGGTGAAACAACATGATTTAAAATTATTCTCTGAAAGTAATCTAGGCATTTTTGTGTTTTAGATATGGGACTTGCCACAGGTTTCATGCGAACAAAGGGCTCAAAGGCAATAAAGTTAGGAAATGACTGCCTTAGAATCTCAAACTCTTATCTGCAATAATATTTTTCCTGCACAGCCAGTGTGATCCTTTAAAAAAGTACTTTTGGGTTAGGTAACACTTCTACTCAAAGCTCTCCAATGGCCTTTTACCTCAGTTAGAATATAATACAGCCTTTACTAGGCCTATAAGCCCCGTAGGCCTTCACCACCCATCAAACCTCCTGTGGCCTCATTTCTATCACTCTGGCCTCACTCACACTCTTCCCTCTTCAAAGGCCTCCTTGCTATTCCTTCTGCGGGCCCAGCATTCAGACTTTACCCTTGCTTTTCTCTCTTCTTGGAATGTTCTTCCCCCAGATATCAAAATGGTTCATCCCTTCATTTCATTCAAATATTTACTCAAATTATTTCCTACCAAGGATAGTTTCCCATATACCTGTTGTCTCCATACCATCTTATTTTATTGCTCACAATTTATTTTTACCTGACATATGACAGTATTTAATGGTTGCTTATTTCTGTCTGCCCCAATTAGAATGTAAGCTCCATGAAGCCAGGGCTTGGTATCACTCTCTGTTGTTTCCCTGTTGCCTCCACCATGCCTGGCAGGTGCCCTGATTAGGATCGATTATGGACTCCCTGGCAAGACTTCCTCTAGCTTCTCAGTCTGCTTGCTTTCTTTACGGGGAATCATTTACACAGTGATATTCTGGTTTAGCACTTTTCTGATGTGGTCAACTAAGCAACTGGGTAAAAGCTGGAGGTGGGTTTACTTCCACGCTTTTGTTTAAGAGTCTAGAATCCTGAAGCATCCATGTCTCAAAGAACAACGAGGCTTTTCCTAAAACATGGTTTACAACTAAGGTGTGAAGGAAGCGCAGGGAAAATAGAGCTTACACAGTATAAATTGGATTCAGCTCTATTCATTTCCCCAGGATTTCACAGACATAGATCATGAAATGGTTCTCATTCTTACCAACTTCTGCAGAAGAAAAAAATTATGCATCCAAATGGAGCGGAATTCTGCCTCAGAGTGTTACACAATAGGCCTTCCACACTTGAAAAAACACTTTCACAATGCTTTCTCCACACTACTCTGTAACAAATGTAAGATCTTAAAAAAAACCAAAAAACCCACACCATTCGGGGGTGTTATCTCATACCACTTTAATGGAGGAGCTCCTTATGGCTCGTTTTATATCTACCTCCCCCCCCTCCAAATTTTGTTTTTAAAGTTATGCTGCTGATGAAATAATATTTACGTTGAGCAAGAAGATGAAAGGTGCTGTTTAGAATAGTTTTTCAAGAAGATGCTACTGTCAGCTTGGATAAAAAGGATTCATCTTTTCCGGCTTGCAGACATATTTTAATATAAAGCCACTGAACCTTACTAAAGAGATATGTCTCAGAAGTGTGCTTACTTGACAGGGTTCCGGGCAGCATCTGGGTCCTGGGCTGTGACCGAGCCTATTGCAGTGTTTATCTGAGCATCTTCTCTTATTTGCAAGATGTAGGCTAGTTTGCTGAAGACGGGGGGCTCATCTACATCTTCCACCACAATCCTCACCGTGGCCGAGTCCTTGAATGGACCCAGGTAGAGAAAGCGGGGTTCAACATGAGGGTTGGAGGCTTCCACTTTGAGGGTGTACACTTTCTTCTTTTCAAAGTCCAGCAGCTTGGGTGGGAGGGAGAGGGAAAGGGACATATTTAAAGCAGCCAAGACACAGAAAGCCAAGATATGAACTATTTTTTGTGTAAATCACTGATGAATGAAGAGGGTCCTATTGCTTAGAGACATCACCACACAAAGCCATGGGAGTTCACAGGGTTCAGAACCCGAATGAAAGTGAGAGCAGGGTATGTGGTGTAATGGTCAGGAAAGGGAACCTGGAAACAGGAGTATCTGAGTCACCCTTTAAAATAAATCCTATGTGACGAGAAGGAGCCATACCAGGGGCAAGTTGGTGATTATGTGGTAGAGTATTCTAGGTCAGGGATTGTCACATCTGGCTTTAACCAAACTCATTAAACCACAATGTCTGAGGGGTGGGGTGTGTGTGGAATGGGAATTTATACTATTCAACACCTCACTTGGTGATTGTAATGTGCAGCCAGAATTGAGAACTTAGGCTTATGTCACGATTCCCTGTTCCTCATTCAGATAAAATAGATTAAAAATGGTGATTTTTTTTCCTTTTTTCCCCCTCTTCTTTTCTTTTCTTGTTGCACGAGGTGATAACATATTCCAAGTGTTATCTTGATAAGGGCATTGGGCTAATTACTTGCCAAAGAAAGTAATGATCAGTGTTGTCAGAGGTCTTTAGGAAAAGCATCTCTGCTTCTGGAGACACAGTGAACCCGCATGCTTATTGCTGACTTTTGGTTTTGGATAATAATATGACAAGGCTCACTAGAAACACAATTAATCAAGACGTTCGAGAATGTGATTTAGTCGGCTAGGCAAAATTTCAGTTTGAATCTGATAAGGCACCAGAAAAATTAAAAAGGTTAATGGACACTAATGGGCTTCCTAATTATATTAGAGTGTAAAACATTGGTCTGAGTGTCACTTAAACATGCGTTATTGTGTTTCCAGTTATTAAGACCTGTAATCCGAAGCTTAAGAAGAAAACATTTTCTTGTTATTTACCTTTCCCTATAGTTCATTATGCCTGCAAGTATAACAGTGTGCTTAAGGAAAGGGAAGACATTGATGGAGGAGAAGTCAGTAAAATGAGTAACCAAAATTAATATTATTTTTAGCTTTAAAGCAAATAGGTTATTGGCTTTAATTTTTGCCACACTTCCTTATAGTACTCTGTAGTACTAGGCAAATGATGCAGGGATAAATGGTGAATAAATACAGAGGGGACACACAGGAATTCAGAGTATTAAAAATGTATTATTGTGTTCCAGAGAATAGCTACAGAGTGCATAGGAAATTTGTATTACTTAATTTTTTTGGTGGTCTTTATAATTCTTCTCAATCTAATTACATTCATTGTTGCCATTGCTTGTATTCCTTTTCTTCAAAGCATGTATCAGGAATCATAGTTATGCATGCTTTATTTACTTATTTGCTTCCTTGTCTCTTTTCTCCCTATACTAGAAGTTCCATGAGAGCGAGACCATCCTGCTAAATGGACCATTAAACATTCAGTATCTAGAACAGTGTCTGCCACTGTTTTTTCATATATTGGTTTGTGTCTATTATTTATTTTAGATACTTTTTTTTATATATCATTCATTTATATCATCTAGTTATTTAGAAGTCCCTTAATACATTTTATTGAAAGTAAGAATGAATGAATCCATAAGATTATTGCGGACCCCTAAAAGCCAACCAAAGAGATCTCAATGTAGTTAGACTTGGTGTTTTGAAAAACTAATCAGTAGATGCAGAATCCAGAGGAATGTTCATGTGAGATGCGATTGCCCCCAGTTACTGGGGCAGCAGAGAAATGTAAACGCACTCACTCATTGGCAAGGGATTCACCCAATGGCATTACCTTTTTGACAGTTATAATCCCTTCCTGGGTCTCCTGGTCAGTGATGACATCAAACATGTCCAGCCCCTCTCCCTCTGTGATGCTGTACTGAATCGCAGCATTTTCTCCCACGTCGGCATCCGTGGCTCTGATCCTGCCTATTGATGTGCCCGGTGGAGAAGACTCAGGGGTGGTAAACTGGTATGTACCTATTAATCACCAGAAAAATGTAAGTCAGACACAGGCTAAGGGTACTCTGTCAGAACAGAAATGAACCAACAGATCTTTCAGAATCACCGTGGATGCAGGCTGATTTGTGCTTTTCTTAAAATAATGAATGGTGTCCTATACCTCTCCATCTTTACTTTCATGATGGTTAAGAATATTTCTTTTGTTTCATCCCTGTCTCTTTGCAAACAGAGAACACTTTTCTCATTTTGTAAGTAGGTGTGATTGTGAGGAAGACTGAGCTGGTAGGGGTGGCTGCAGTTTGCCAAGCCTCCTGTGAATGTAACCGAGCACAAAGAGTAGAAAAGAATTTAACCTGAACTGTGGCTTTAAGCCAATTACTAGGGGTTTTTTGTTTGTTTTGTTTTTAAGAGTTCTTGCTGTCATTGCTAATAACAACTGAAGGTTAAAGTAAATTATAGCAATTTGGAGAATTTACCCTAAGCAGACATTTACTAAACATAGAACTGGTCCAGTCGCAGTTAGGCATACAGATAAATACACTGAGAAACAAAGCTCTTCTTTTTTCTTTTGACTAAATTTTTGTTTAAGTTTTGTTTATATTATTTTTTTTCTATGCATAGATTTCCCCCATTCTTGAATTCATATCCCTAATTCAAAACTCATATTTCATAGAAAGACACTTTGCTTATGTTCTCATGTTGCAAAATTGGTTTAAGGAGACAATATGTGAATTTCAGTCTAGATCTGCTAGGCCAGCATATACCAAGGGCCAAAAAAGTAAAACAAATGTATTCTCTCATCCAATACATTTTGCCAACCATTCATGCAGATTGTTTTGGGGGAAAAAAATTGGACAATGACACCACTAGAATATTGTGCTTGAATAATTAGTCCACTAAATAATGGGCTCATCGTTGGTAAGAGGATGACAGTTTTCTCTGGTGTATTCAACTTCCATTTGGGGTGCCTCCTCCCCCTTTCTCTATTCTCTCCTCTCTTGCCTCTGTACATTATTCACGAATGATCACAGGCTATCCAAGGAAAGAGGAGGATGACTTAAGATACTGTGGCATCAAAGTGCCCATCAGTCCTTTTATCCTTCTCCAGGGCATTTCCACATGGAAAAGGGGTAGTTGGGGATAAGTTGTTGGTAATCCTGATATTTTTACTTCAGACCCCTGGGGGATAGTATAGGGTTCCTAAAAACGCTTCTCCTACCCATTAAATCAGAAATTATTTAGCTACACTATGTTTGCATTTAGCTAATTATGATTAATTAGTGGACAAAAGCAAAGAAAATAGAATTATTTCCTATTGATCCATGTGGATTTCCATTATATAAGAAGCCTATATTAGCTGACTGGCTTTTTAAAATGCCACGATCGAGTAAGTGGGTTTTCTGTTTAATAATGGGCAGCTGTGTTTTTTTTTTTTTTTTCCCTGGAAGACAGGATTCAGGTAATTTTCCGAGGAGACCATAGTCAGAAAGGAATTTTGTTCCTGGGATAAAAATTACATTATAACTAGTACCCCCTGAGGTGCTCTTGGTGGAAGGGGCTAGTGCTCTGCTAGATACAAAGTGGGCATTTCTGAAGGCTGTTTTTCCTTCTCATTTCTCCCTATATAATCAAGAGTTAATGATTTTGGAGATGATTTTCGGGATCTCAATTAACCATTATGTAGAAAAGTATTTATGAGCACAAATGGATTAAGTGCACAGTTATTTCCACAGATGTATTTTTAGAAACAGTAAAATGATAAATCCTCCTCTTACGAGGCTTCGTGAGGATTTAAAAGAGATTACATGGCTGATTAAATTCACAAAATATAAAGTCAAATTTTTTCCTAACAAATAGCAGCATGCTTGTATGCGTATGTTCTGAGCAAGCAAATTTATATCCGTGGTTGTCTTTTTAATGAGGAAAAATAAAACGATGATGTTGCATTTGCAATGACAGCTATATCAGAAATCGCTTGGCTAATTTCCAGTTCAGGAACCTAAATGTTCACATCTCCTGAGTGTAAACGTTGTCAACTCATTCTTAATAAAAGTGTCAGTTCTTACTAAGTTCATTAATTTTGACAATTAATAGCGACAATCAAAAATAGGTATCATTCTTCAATTTAGAGTTTTACAAAAGTGCACTGAAGAAAGTCATCATTCAAATGTTCCTACTTTGAGGAAACCGGGGAGGGTTGTCATTGACGTCTGTCAGGGTGATGTTCACCGTGGTGGTCCCAGATAATCCCCCCATCTGGCCGGCCATGTCCTTGGCTTGAATCACCACTTGGTACTGCTCCTTGTTCTCTCGATCCATGTTGAACAAAGCTGTCTTGATGATACCTAGGTATATGAAATTCAGAAGTGGAAAGGAATATATTAAAAATACTTTATGGAGTCATTTATTTATGCAAACACACAGATTTTCAGCCACAATATGCATAGCACTTTGCAGATGTCATTGTTGACATAAAAATGATTATAGTTAGCCTTTATACGAAAGGAAATGAAAACCACATAGGGGAGAGAGGTGCATTTAAAAGAACCACCTACAGTACGAGAAGAATAAGTCGAATCCTGCAACCGTGGAGAATGTAAGTGGTATAAATATTAATTGTTAGAAGATGACACAGCGAAGTGAACTTGGCGTGTGGCCCAGAGTATACCACCGAAGTTGCTTGATATATTTAGGTACATTAGGAGGCAATTGGTAAGAGAAAGCCATATACATGAACTGTCTCTTGAGTTTCATTTTACTGAATTGGCTAATTGTTCAGCAAATATACCCACCATAATGAATGTTCTCAGGATTCTCTAAATCATGAAACTATGGTTTAAAAAACCCCACAGCATCAGTTCTTTCATAATCATCATGTTGTGTGATCCAAGAGATTTTAAGATTTCCTAAAGCTGATGTGAATATTAGTTCTGCTGGCCCCAGCAGTGACCAAGATTCTCGTTAGGTGAAGTTTATCTCTGTTGTTAAGTAGTTGTAAAATAAGTTGGAAGAACTTGTGAAAGTTTGCCTAATTTCTTAGGTAGGTTTCATGCTTAAATTAACAACATTCTTTCAAAGATCACTGGAGAAGGCTTTTAACTCTCTCTAGTAGCACATTCCAGTGCTGAACAGCCATGAAACTAAAAAAAAAAAAAAAAAAAAAAAAAAAAAAAAAAAAAAAAAAGATCTTCCTTGTTTTAACAAGAATAATACCTCAGAAACAGGTCAGTTTCATTCCCACAGTCCTGGCTTCATTGAAAATGGAACTGTTATTTCTGTTCTCCAAACAACAGTATTTTTATCTAAATAGCTTAGCCTTGTGTTCTTTAAGTTGAATAATTCTAATTTTTTCATCCTCATTGTTTTTAAATTCAACATTTTCTTTCTCTTTGGGCTTCTTTCCAAGTTTATTGACCCTCTTAACCCACCGATTTCCAACTGGATGTAATAACCTAGGAGGGTTTTGATTTCTACTAAGAATAACGGAAGCTTGAAAAATGTTTCAAAGAAACTCCACTCCTATTATGACAACAAAAATAAGTGTAGAATTTACTAGACAGTACAAATGATGTTCACTAAAAAGATTCATTATAAGATAGAATGTTATTTTTCTATAGAAATTGCAGAAAAAGGAGATGTTGAAAAAAAGTATTCCATTAAGGCAATACACTTTTATTAGGGCTATCTCAGTCTGTTTGGGGGAGACAATGAGGTAACAACACAGAAAGCTAAATCTCAGTGGCTTAATGCAACCCAAGTTTGTTTTCTCATGCCTTGAGCAGGCCAGCAGGTGACTCTACTCATCATAATACTCAGATTTCTGGGCTAGAGAAGCATCTCAGCATTGGCTCCCATCTGGGGTCACTGTGGCAAGTGGAAGGGTACACCAGGTCAAAAGTTCCACTTGGAAGTAACTCACATCACTGCCACGTTTTATTGGCCCAAAAAAATCATATGGCTACATCTAGCTTCAGTAGAGAAATGCAGACCTACCAAATATCTAGAAAAATAAAAATTGGAATATTTGTAAACCGCCACATAACTATCAGAAGGGCTTGATCTTTTAGCTTCCTCCCAAACTGGAAGAAAAAAAATAAAGCAATGTATAATTGCTTCAGAATATGCCATATAGTGGGTGAAAGATCCATTGTTGTATTTCTTGGTTAAAATGATCTGGGTGTTATGTTTATAAATGTATCACTGGTATTTGGCAGACAAATCTAAAAAAATTCAATCACGTGGATTGTTTTTATTAAAAAATGTGCTAGCTTAGCCGAGCATGACAAGTAAAATTACAGATTGTAAAAAAGAAGATAAGAATGGAATTCTAACCTGTTTCCGATTCAACTGAGAAATAGGGCTGCCCCTGCAGGATGCTATAGACAACTTTAGCACTGTTCCCATATGTTGGATCATCAGCATCGGTGGCAGTGACTTGGACAACAACTGTGCCTGTAATGACAGAACATGAATTGAAAAGATAGTAAAGGGCCCATTTCAGATCCCAGATAGGACACATAAAGAGAAAGCATGCTCTTACTTTTGTCAGAATCTATCATGGCAAGACAGCAGGGAACTTTAATAATATGCTAGGTTAAAAATACTTGGATCCCTCACTCTGAAGGAAAGTGATTGCCATTTATAAATACCATAAGGATCAGATAAAGGGAAACATGGGAATGATCATGACTTCGGTTGGACCTCATCTCAATCCATTTCCAAAGGTAGGATTTGATTGGATTCTTGCTATGGTACTTCTTTTAAGTTATGAAGGCCCTAGTCAATCTGAATCTTGCATTACTTTGTCCATAGGGATTACTTTGTCCAGTTATGATTTTGCTGGAAATTCTGTCATTGGTACTCTTTCTACTGGACTAGGATGTGCTAAAGAGAAGCCTAAAAATGCAATCACTATTTAGTAACATTAGAGATGGCAAGTTGAGAACAAAGCTGAATAGAACAGAGAATTTAGGGAAAATAGAACTCCAGTCAAACCATGTCTAAAGCCTATTTCATTTCTGGGCTTAAGTAATGTGACCAGTAAATACATCTGTTGTTTAAAGTAGTTTGAATTGAGTTTTCTGTTATCTGCAAATAAAAGCATCCTAAGTGAAAATCTACCTGGTAATTCTAAGAGACTGAAATGCCTTTAACTTTAAGTGAGGTAGTTTTGGGTTAAGTAAAGAATTAATTGAAACAACAGAGGATACACATCTGGTATCTGTAATGCCTAAAATGACTATAATTAAATGTACAAAGAAAACTGTGGTGTTTTAAATCAGCACTCTTATTTTAGGGAATGAGAGTCGCCTAATATCCTTTGAGGTATCCTTAACTTCCATAAAATTCCATGCAAATGTTTGTGTATATGCTTGCATGTATATTTCACTGAAGTTCCATGAATTTTTTTTATCTGATAGCAAAGGGGTCTGTGTCTTACAAAAAGATCCTCTGATTAAGATCATTTTGTGGCTGACTTTTGAAATTCCTGGTAGATAAATAGTAAGCACACCACCAGGGTTCTCCTGTCTATGAACAGGGCAGAGAAGCTACATTTAGGGAATACTAGAATTTTTACATCGCTTGGGTACTATCTAACCAATGCATATATAGAACAAATACACTGCACTGCTAAGGTTGGCTGCTCTGGATGCAGCATGTTGGTGCATGAGATAGAACACACGCCCTTTTAATTCAATGAGGGACTTGGGGAGAATGAGAACATCATGATTTTAGAGTGAGAGCTAATAGCAGAAGTCAACAAACATGTTCTCATTTGACATCAATACAAATCTAATAGCTTTTAGAATACGACTGTCTGGATGTTTTGAGCACTTGTGAGTAGCCAGATATTTATTGTACTGGGGGCTGTGCACTTGTTTTCTCCTCTGTCTTCACCTTAGAAGTTGACATCCATTATTTATTTGTTAGAGATATGGAATTGGAGGGTGAGAGAAATCAAGTTATTTACATAAACCACACTTACGTTAATTAGTAGAGGTAACTTCAAACTCAGGTCTGTTTGATACCAGAGTTCATTTTTACTATTCTGTTGTTGTTTCTTTATGTAATTTTTTAAAAAATGCTTTTATATATCAGAATAATGACATGTTAATTTATGATAACGATGACTATAAAGATACCCATGCCTGTATGCAAATTAGAAAAAGACTTCCCTTTCTCAAAATATGTTTCTGTTTAGCCATTCACAAATATTTGTATTACATATTTAATTCTATAGTGGCTTCAAATGAAACAGAAACAGACTCACAGATACAGAGAACAGACTGACAGCTGTCAGAAGAGAGAAGGGAAGGGGTCTAAATGAAAAAGGTGAAAGGATTATCTCACAAACTTTATAGACAGATAACAGTATGGTGATTACCAGAGGGAGGCAGAGGAGGATAAAAGGGGGATAAATGGTGATGGAAAAAGATTTTACTTGGGTCATGAGCACATAATATACTAAACAGAAGATGTATTACAGAATTATACTCCTGAAACCTATATAATCTTATTACCCAATGTCACCCCAATAAAATCAATTAAAAATTAATCTCTCTGTACAAAAAAAGTCAATGGTACCCCTGAGAGTTGTTCAGTGACAACTTGCACATCTGGTTATGGTGTCCTGGGTGGCATTGATGACAAGACTATTCTTTATTCATTCTTTCTGTCTTTTACCACCAAATGGAAAAATATTCTTCCTAACAAATCTATCTTTTAAAAGAATTCTAATCCTCATATTTGCTTGGTGATAATCTGTGATTTTTTTTCCCAAACAAAACAAAGTGGCTTTAGTAAATGAGATGAGCAACTTCATCATGAGAAAATTTAGATGTTTTACAAGCATTTCCATGGTTTAAATATTTTCAAAGTCTTGGAACTTTGGATTGAAACAGCTGTGATATATGACTCAGAATTGTAGAAACATTTTTATTATGTAATTTAGCTCTTTTGAATTTGATACTGAGTGAAAATTAAAATAACTCTTACATGAGTAGTATAATATTTGTCATTGTCTCCGATGAAGTATATTAATGTGGCTAAGAATGTCAGTAGGATTTTTTTCTTAGTTGAAATTCTGTCTACCTTCTCCCAGTCTAAGCAAATTAAATGCACACATATTAACTTTAAAATTGGTAGAATTGTGCACAAAATATTAATTTACCATATTAATGTCATTTACTAATTTCCACCAATTAGTAAAGTATATCTTCCTTAGATATCCTCTGCATATTTCTATGCATTGAAAAGAAGTTTTCTTTGAATCTCTTCTCCAAATATACAGTCACTTAAAGCAACAGTTATTACTCTTTAGTCTGGACTGTAAATCCAGGCTTTTGTTTTCCACTGGGGAGATTCTTACTCGGAGCCTTAATGCCAGAACGTGCATTAGAAATAGAGAAGGCTGCTGTTTTCCAGCCCAGGAAATAGAGCAGGGATTTAGGGTGGGAGAAGTAGATGAGATGGCTCTTTCTTTTTCCTACTCTCACTCTACCCTCATCTTTAGAGGAAATGTAGTTTTCTTAAAAAGGATAAAGTGAGACTAGAGTAGTATTAGGAAACATGGGGGGGTACTTACAAAAGGGACATAAGTAGACTGTTTGAAATATGGTACTTTAGAACTTAACATCTATATTTATTCAATCAGTAAGTTTCACTCATAGGATTCTTTGTTCAGTTGATGAACTGGAGGAGAAGCATTGCCTGGTTGAAATCACATACCACTCACCCACATCAGACATTTCGGGAACTGTGGCTGTGTAGACCTCCTCAGTGAATATTGGTTCATTGTCGTTGATATCATGGATCTTGATGACAAATTCAGATTCAGGCTCCACAGGAATCCCAGTCTTTTTATTTACAGCTTGAGCTCGAAGGATGTAAGTAGGTTTTTCTTCCCTGTCTAACCTTCTGGTGGCTTGTATATCCCCTGTGTTTTCATTGATAATGAAGAGATCTCCTGCTCCATCTCCTGAAAGGATATATTTAAGTGATCCATCTCCTTTATCCTGGTCTGAATGTAACTAGTGTAGAAAAAAAATTAAAGAAAGTAAAAATCAAACATGATTCTAAACTGTAGGTCTTTATGATGCATGCTTTCATTCAATCCTTTCTAAGGGATGCAGTTCTTTTCTTCTACTATTACTTCAGTCCCCCATAGTAAATACCATTCATTAATGAACATGTTTCCTTATAATCATAGAAATTTCCAGAACTGAAACAGAGCTTGGGGAACACATAGTAATCCTTATTTTGAAGAAGGGAAAACCAAAAGCCAGAGTAATCACAAAACTGGCTGGAATGAAACTATTTTTACTACAGCTTTTAGATTATATTAATATACTCTCCTCACTTTTATGTATGCAGACATACTAAAGAAGCAATATATTATTAAGAAAAGGATTTTGGTTTTTGAATCAGAGAGACCAGATACATTCTACTTCTATATTGAATTTAGGGGAGCTAGTAAATCTCTTTGAGTCCAATATAATGGAGACTATAATCAATTTTCTACATGAAATTTATGTATTTATTTATAAATCAATGAATGAAATTCAACTCGAAGCATTTGAAAAACATCTTAAGTACCACTATGGACATTGCCTTGAAAACTGCCGACTACATCATTTACAAGGTCACTGGGAATAAGAATATTTAACACTTAGATTTTAGTTTAACCTGGGAAAGGACCACTTATAAAGCAAAGCCGCCTAAAATTGCATAGTCTGCCTTAGGAAATAGTGGGTTCCTGCTCATGAAGGTAATCAAGCAATGACTCTGATATAGTTAAGTCAATGCAATGGGTTAGGGTAAAGGGTTGAATTAAATGAATGTGAGAAGACCTCTGAATTGGAAGAGGATGGTTGTAACTTGGAAAGTAACCCATCTTACCTAATCCCAAAGATTATTTCCAAAGAGTTGACTTCCTTTTATTTCCCCTTTTCCCACTTCAGCAAGAGTATCTCATAGGTCTTCTAATCTAACCCTTATTTACAGAATTCCCAAAAGTGCTCTTTATAAGAACTATTTTCAAAGCCTGTTATAAATATCAGCTGCATACAGATAAATTAGTTTCAGTGGGAAGGCTGCTAATCTCTACCTTATTTCATTGTCATCTAACCAGGGTATAGGTCGTGTTACAACAATTATGGCTACAATAGCAACAGGTAAACCAGCTCTTTGCCCTCCTGATTCATTTTGTATGGAATGCTCACAGTAGTGTCTAAAGATAGACAAATCTAAAAATAGAATTTCAGGGTAATAAAGGGATTCTAAGAATAAGGTAATCCCACCTTTCTAAAAGTGTATCACATGGAATGTAATTTATATAAAATGCTGACTCAAAAAGGTTCTGTGGTCCAATAAGTTTGTCAAATATTTTAGAGTCTGCCTCTTTCTTGGAGTCATACATTGTCTATTAACATATGAAAGACTGTGAATGTCCACAGTTTAAAATTGTATTTGACTTTATTTAATCTAGCTTTCCCGAGTTCTCTTATGTAAAGAAGCCTTTTTGGGTGTGATCCATAGTGATATTCCCCCAAAACAGTTTTCCAAGAAGCACAGTTAGGAAAACATGAGCTAACTGAATCCATCATTGCAGAGTTAAGAAAACTGAAGTTCCCTTTTATAGTGTTTCCCAAATCACACAGCTCCCATGAAAGCACCAGAAGTATAGAATTAAAGTGCAAGAAGAGGCCTTATAGACTATTGGGTGCAACCTCCCAGTTTTTAGAGATGGGAAATTGTGTCCAATGCCACACAGCTAATGCTGGTTAATAGCAGGGTTTGAGGAAGAGAATGTTATTCATACAATTAGTGGCCTTGAAAGCAGTTTGACAGAAATAATGGAAGATAAATGCACACGGGGAGGAAATTGCTTAGAAGTGAGACAAACGCAATAAGAAATGTAAAACAAGAGCACTCCATGATTTGTGTAATGTGATATGCTAAGAAAACGTTGAAACCGTGATTACACAGAAAGAGCCACTGGGGAACGTTTAACTCTCCACCATCAAACTCTAATGACTGAAGTGAGCTCTTAAAAAGCTATTTCATTAGCTCACGAGGAATGCAACCAACATCACTGCCCATTGGGTCCTGGCTCCAGGGCAGCCATGGTTAGCGTCCTGGCACAGCCCTAAGTATAGGTCTTGCTCATTCTATTTCCTCCCCAAATATAGCATCCCAGCAGTCAATTAACCTCCCTGTGCCAGGTTCCTTATTAGTAACACGAGGATGATAAGAGCTTCAGGACAAGGCTGTCATGAGCATCTAATTAAAGCCTGTATATAAATACCACATTAAGCGCTATGTAAATGTGATAAAAGCACATATGTGTTTTATAAATGACAAAGCTCCTTCCAAATTTAAGAAATTTTTACTATTTTTAAGTCTCAGTTCATCATAAGCATGTTTTTCCCCCCTCTGGTTTTGACTTTGAGAACTTTGTTGTGAGGACTTTGAAAACCCAATTTTGCTAATACACAGTGTCTCTAAGGTGAAATCTGTTATCAACACCCAGTATTCTCCTACCAGGTGGCAATTGCCAGTTTCCCATGTGATTTATTATATTCTGCATTCCACTAGATTATAGACTCCCCTTGGCCTGTTCTCTCATCCCTCTCAATGGTAATTGTTGCACACTTAGTAGGTGAATACCACATCTGGTCACAAGATTTATTCAGGTAAAAGTAATCAGAAGCTTATTTTTAGCTGTCAGGAGAGACCATTCCGATGACTTATAGAACAAATACCCTAGACGGTTTGGAAGAGCAGCAGAGACACTAAGTAAGAGGGTGAACAGGGATTGCTCTGCCGATCCCAATTCTGATTTACCAATATTTGAAACCCAGTGGGAAAATGCACCTCTTCACTCAGGCGCATGATGATAAAACAATTTAACCTCATCTCCTCCACCTGCAGGGTGTGTGTCTGATGGGGTGCAAGGCAACAGGAACCTCAGAAGCTTTTGTATAATTCTTTTCCTACTCCCTCCTCCTCACCTTGAACTCCCTGGGGGCCCAGCTCTTTTCTCTCTTTTTGAGGAAAAAAGGAAACATAAGACATTGGTGCTAGTGAAAGGGGTGGTGACAAGCAGACATTAGGGGTTTATTGAGCACTTAGATTTTAATTGGATTTTTTCCTTTGTGATGTCATTCATCACGGCCACTGTAAAAGCAGAAGTTAAACAACAACAAATAAAAGGTTGTAGGCTGCCAGAGGCATGTTGTTACTAATTTCAGTTGAATGTGGCTGTTTCATTAAGCTTAATCATCTGGTTCACTTTTAACGATTCACCATCAAGTAAAAATTACCCGCTCTCCTCAGAAAGGCACATCTCATCTGATGCTGGCGGGACTTTACTACATATCTGTGGCATTTGGTTTTAGAAGGAGCTCTTGGTCTTATTCGTTTTGTGGTTGATTTATTATTATTTTGTTTAAGTGCACCACCTTGACAAATTTGGGTTGTGGATGTGGCCTCCTGGAGAGTGTCACCAAAGCAAATCTTAGTGTCCTCCATCCCCTTTCTTACTTGATTTTAGGATAACTCTATGTATCAAGAATATTTGTTCCTAACGTTGTCAGATAACTCAGCAATTATTACCAAACATTAGGCACATGGTTCAATCTGAGCAATATGAAGGAGGAATATAAGTTTATCTCAGTTCTGAAAAAACGTCTTTACTAACCAATGAACCTTCAATACAACTATGTCACTTGTATATGCTGAAAAGAGCAAGGAAGTTGTAAGCACATTAAGTACAGTGACCATTGTAATTACACTAGGTGCTGGGACAGAAGTCACCTGTTAAGGGTGAAGAAGCTACACGATTTTACTGAACCATATTTCAAGTATCAACCTGATGCAGAAAGTAATGAATAATGTATGGAAAATGATCCATTTTATGGGAATGTTGTTCTATGATAAACATGATTTAACTGTCAACCAAGACCATTTAAAAACACTTGTTGTCTTCAATAGGCAACAAATAAACAATACCTGTCTTCTACAAACTTGAAATTTAGGCTTGTAAATACTCATATGTAAAAGATACAGAATAAAAGCAGAAATTAGACAGTTGAGTACTTTGATTAAGTATTATGAATAAAAATATAAATGGAAAGATGGAGAACAGCATAGAAAGAAGTTATATGTTGAACAAGGTAGAGTCAGGGATCGTGTTGGGTCTTTGATGGTTCAGGAAGAATTCTTGGAGGAGTATAGATTTACCAATGGGAAAAAAATGATTTAGCAACCAGATGAGTGCATGGCATGGTTTCAAGGTTCAGTATGGGAGAAAGCCAGAGGATGCCTTGAGTAGGTGCCTGGGCTAATAAAAGCAATAATGGCAGCTAAAATAGAAACACTCTTTCCCTAGAGTTGCAGGATCCTATTTTTTCTTACACTGCACTCAGATATGAAAGGCAGATAAAACTTCCTTATTATTATTATTATTATTATTGTTGTTGTTGTTAATCCTCACCTGAGGATATTTTCCCATTCATTTTTTGGAGAGAGTGGAAGGGAAGGGGGGAGACCTAGAGAGAAAAACATAGATGTGAGAGAGACACATCAATTGTTGACACAAGGGTGGGGTGGGGGTTGGGGGTTGAGCCTGCAACTGAAGTATGTGTCCTTGACCAGAAATGAACCTATAACCCTTCAGTCCATGAGCCAATGCTCTCTCCACTGAGCCAAACCCGCTAGGGCCTTATTTTTTTAATAGCTTATCTCTCAAGCTCTAATCCTATTGAATATTAGGAACTCTATACATATTGGGTTGAATATTAAGTCAATAATTTAGTGCAATTCAATAAAGTCTGTCTGATTCAATAGTATAGTCTCTTTCGATAACTTTTAAAAATAAATCCTTGTCTTTCTTGCTTCAGCTTTCTTCCCCTGCCCTTGATCTAGTCCAAGATGACATCTGGGTGTTTGAAAAAGGAAGAGCTACATGGCCTGAACAGGAGGGAAATTTGGGGCTTTTGCACTTTCCTCTGGCCTGCTAGTCTCTCAT